TTCTAGAAACGTTGCGTCACGTGGTCATGTGACTCGCTGACGCAACAATATTTTATAATCTATGATTAATTGTTACTATTGTAATGCTAGGAGTATTGGAAATAAAATTGATGAATTTATAACAGTTGTGGAAACTGAGGATTTTGATATCATGAGAATCACTGAGACTTGGTTGGATTTGAACAATTATGATGAGAGAAATGTTTTTGAAATACCAGGCTACAAATTATTTGCTAGAGATAGAGTATTGAAAAAAGGGGGGAGAATAGCTTTATTTGTGGGGAGTGAATTGCATCCTGTTGAGTTAGAGCATATTAAAGAAAATAGCACTGAGGTTGAGTCAGTTTGGGTTAGACTTAGTGGATATAAAGGGAAAAATCTTGTAATTGAGATTTGTTATAGACCACCAGGCCAGAATGTGGAAGTTAATGAAAAACTGTATAATTAGATCAAAATGGTAGCTGAAAAAGATGTTGTTACTATAGGACACTAATTTCAGGGGTATTGATTGGGAAAATTTTGAGTCTGACAGTGAGGGAAGGATAGGTTTTTGGAAATTGTTCAGGATACTTTTATACACCAAATGGTGATGGAACCTACATGAAAGGAAGCTATATTAGATTTAATATTAGTATCTGATATGAATATGATAGACAGAGTTGTGGTTGGTGAGCATTTAAGTACAAGCAACCACTGCACTATTAGGTGTGAGATTTTATTACATGTAGAATTGAAGAAGTACCCTGAATGAGACATGATCTGGCTTCAATAGATTGGACTAAAGAGTTGAGAGAAGATCTTGAACAGATGTGGGAAGCATTTAGGGAAAACTTTATATGCATACAGAATATACATATTCTCTACAGAAAAAAAAGAGCAATGGAGAGGAATAAGACAGTATGGTTTAGTAAAGGTTTAAGAGATCATATTAGGGATAAACTTAATAAATTCAAGAAATTTAAATTTATTGGAAATAATAAGGCCTTGGAGGAATATAGAAAATCAAGAGAGCTGGTTAAAAAGGAAGTTAAAAGAGCAAAAACTGTATATGAAAGAGGGTTGGCTGAGAGATTTAAATCAAACAATAAGGAATTCTTTAGGTATATGACTGGTAAGCAAAATGTCAGGATGGAGGATTGGGTCTCTTAAAAAAATGATTGTGGGAAACTGATCTTGGAAGATTATGAGATGGTAAACTCATTGAATTATATGTTCTCTTCAGTTTTTATGAAGGAAGATACAAGTATTATGCCTCAACCAGAGCACTTAATGTAAAGGAAAAATATTGATATAAAAGACATCAATTTAAGTTCTGAAATTGTAAGAGAAAGGTTGGGAAACATCAAAATTGATAAATCACCTGGACCAGACAACTTTTATCCTAGAGTTTTCAAGGAACCTAAAGATTTTATTTGTGAACCGTTAGCTAATATTTTTTACAGGTCAATGAGTATTGGAAGAGTATTAGAAGATTGAAAGTTGGTTAATGTTAGTCCAATATTTAAAGAAGGTGATAAACATTGTCCAGGAAATTATAAGCCAGTTAGTCTTACATCAGTAATTGGAAAGGTTTTGGAGAGTGTAATTAAAGATGCATTACAGAGTCACTTGAAGCAGTTTGATATAGTGTCAAAGAACCAGCATGGTTTCACTAAGGGAAAGTCTTGTTTAACAACTCTGACATTCTTTGAGGATGTTACTGCAAGAGTTGATGAAAGAAATACTGTGGATTTGGTTTATCTTGATTTTCAGAAAGCATTTGATAAGGTGCCTCAAAAAGGACTTGTTACAAAAATTAAATCTGTGGGTGTGGGGGAAATGTTATTAAATTGGATAGAAAATTGGCTGGAGATTAGAAAGCAGAGAATAGTTATAAATGGAGTTGGATCTGACTGTATCACAGTTACAAGTGGTGTGCCTCAGGGCTCTGTGCTGGGTCCTCTGCTGTTTGGGATTTATATTAATGATATTGACTCTAGAATTTTGTAGATGACATTAAGATTTTTGGGGTGGCTAACTGTATAAAAGATGCTGCAGACTTACAGGATGATCTAGATCATTTCATGAATTGGGTCAATACGTGGCAGATGATGTTTAACTATTAAAATGTAAGGTGATGCATGTAAATTTTCACAGTTCAAATTATTTTTACAATTTAAATGGTAATGCATTAAATACTGTGGTTGAAAAAAAATTGAAAAATCACTCAAGTCATCTAAACGGCATATTGTAGCTAGCCTTTAGAGTACTGTGTACAGTTTTGGGCTCTTTTCCTCAAGAAGGGCATTGAACTGTTTTAGAAGGTTCAGAGAGGAGCTACTAAAATGATACCTAGGATGGTGGAATTGCCCTTTGAGGAGAGACTAAAATCTCTAAACTTGTTTTCTCTGGAGAGGAAAAGAGTCAGAGTAGATTTGATTGAGGTGTTTAAGATTATTAAGGGTATTGATAATATAGATCAATGAAACTTTTTGTGTTTAGCAGTGAAAACAATAGCACAAGGAGGTCATAAATTCAAATTTTGGCAGCGTAGGAGTAGTCTGCAGTTTATACAATATGACTTTTCCAACAAGATGGCTCACTTTCGGAACGAGCTATCTTCAAGGGTGGTTGAGGCAGAAAATTTAATTGAGTTCAAGAAAAGATTGGATGATTACATGAGTAGTAAGGAAGCTGGAAGGGACATCCTTGATGGGCTAATAAGCTCCTTTTTGTCCCTTTCAAATTTTATTAATTTATAATTTTGGGCTGCATGTGTATATATATACATATATATATATATATATATATAAACAGATTTGACCTGAAACTTTCAAGAGTTAAACAATCATTGTTCAACTTAGAATCAGCACATGATGACTTAACAAAACAGTGCATAAAAAAACAATATATTTTTAATTTCTCATTTTGTGGATTATGAACTAATCAAAGTACACAGTATGCCATAACAAAATGGAGTAAATGTTTAAATAATCAGATACAATCATTGCTGTTTCTGTAATTGTGTACTATTGCAGCAACTGAAACCTTTGTTGTAACATTGTTCTTTCCTTGAGTAGGCTCTTTAAATGATTTGGCAAAAGTAAAGCAATGTTCAGTGTATGTAGTGATAACAAATTAGTTTATTTCTTCCTTGATGACAACAGAGATATCATCCATTCCAGTCTGGAAAGTTAATATTGTTACGTCTCTGGTCGTTAGCTAATTTTCCATAAAAATTCTTTCCGAAGAAAATTTACCGATACAAGTCCTTTCTTAAATAAAACTGGTTTATTCTTTCTGAATACAACTTTGCAATACACTTAATTTCCACAGTCGAGCTATAACAAACGCTATAATTCACAAGGAACGTCTCACGTGCTCAACTCAACAATACTCTCTCTCTGTTCGCAGTTCAATTACACATTACATTGTTGCCGTCACGTCTTGACCGTCTTATATGTACAAGAATACCGAAATCTAGTAACCTCCTGAGGCTTCATG